AACCAGCACTTTAAAAAACTCTTAGAACTTGGTGGGGTCGTCCACAAAAATACCCATTACTTTTGTAAAACCACATTAAAATGCAAAAATTCCGACAATGTAGAAGAGAAAGGATAGAGGGGTGCAAGCGACTTGGTGGATGGAGTAACAGCAGCATTTGCATTCCCAGCTCTGCGGGGACAGACATGATGAATTCTGAGCCACGCAGGCAGACACTGTGTGCCCAGACTGGCTGCAAAGCTATGGGCACCCCAGCAGGAAAAGCTGAAGATGCAGGACCAGGCCCTGCAAATTAAAAAACAAGCAAACAAAAAAAAAACACAGTCTAGAAAAGGATTCAGCAAGACGTGAATGTTGTTGAATGATCTCAGCTGGGAAATGTCAGGTAGCATTTCTGAGGAGAGCCCTTTGTGCACATCGTCCCCGGAGCGAGCAGAGCAGGAGCCATTTGCATGAGCACCGCGCTCAGCAGCTGCAGAACGCTGCGTGCAGAGGGCTCGCACCAAACCACGCTCCTGGCGAGGCAGCATCCGATCCGGAGCTACAGATGTGGGCACTGCCACTGCAACACCACCAGCGAGGAAAGCTGTCTCGTCACTTGCAGCTGTAGGTAATTTTCTTGCTTAGAGAACTTGATGAGTTATAGGCACCTTCAGGGGTAGTGCTGAGATTCAGTGATGTTGTGGCAGATTTCACCGTGTGCTGGCATTATTCACCTGGTTCTTCTGTTTACAGAGCTATGGGCACATCGGCATGCAGGCTGCTGTTGCCTGTTTTTGTATGCATTCCATCCATATTTGAAATTTTGCATTTATTTGTATCTAAAACAGTTTACATAATGTTCAGAGAGAATTAATTTGTTTGAAAATGAAGCAAATAGAAGTTAGGCAGTGGTACGGGTGATGTACATACCTCCCAGCAGAGCAGCAGCTAACTGCAGTTAATGGCTGCCATAAGAAATATGAGATACGGATCGGTCGGCAGAGTAACAGCTGATCCTGTTCCAGACAGGTGGCACCTTGTGTGCTAGCAAATGGATTTGCAGCTTCACCAGAGGAAGAGACGCCACATTTCCATCACACAGAACAAATCTCTGAACTTAGACGAACTATTTTAAGATGGAATTTAGAAACAAAAGAGAGTGTTGCACTGTTTCCCAACAGCCTTTCCTGCGGGATAGTGCTGCACGGAACTCTCGGTTATGGAGCACCACCCAGAGGGCAGAGCAGAGGGATGCAGAAGTGAGATGATCGGATACGTAAAAAGAAAGAAGATCCTACAGCACACCTTACATAACCACCAGCAGGTACCGGATTGTTATTTAACAGATGTCGTCAAGAGAAAAAACTGTGAAAAGGAGATTTCTTTGTCAAGAGAGGATGTTCATCGGCACACAGGACCTCTGCACGCAAGCAAATTCGTCCATTTTGTTAATAATTTAGCACCTCTTATTTTCTTAAACAAACTACAACACCAAAATTTCATTTTGAGGCTACTGCATTTTGATACCATCTTAAAGTAAGCCTTGACTTTTCAATACCTATATTTGGTTTCAGCAGTATAGTACAAAGCACCAGTTCTGCAACTGCTTCTAAATAGCACTTATTTTTGTATCAGTTACAGAAAAACTTGGATTTCATCTCAGGAACAATGAGTATCCTTGTGTCTCACCTGGCTGCATAAGGAAAGACTCAAGATTAGCAGAAAGCACATAAAAAAATGGATGATAAATAGTCAAAAAAGTAAAAAAATGCTTAACCTCTTGTAGTCTACATCCAAAGGGATTCAGATACATGCATTCCCATATACAATTACTGGAGAGGAAAGGTACAGCCCAGGTACAACCCTGCACACCTGCATGGTTCCAATGCAGCTGTGCTGTATCTCTGTCTGGTTGTGGAAAACCTCTACTAGGCATGTCCTAACAGTATGCTAAAGCTAGAAAACAGAAAGCAGAATTTGACTCATCTAGAATGTATAACAGTAAATAAAATAAGAGAGACACTCATTTGGTGTTACAAACTGAGTAAGGATAAGATAATTTAGTGTAGCAGTGAAATTAAGGCGAGGTAAATCCTGTCTACTTGCATGTCCTCTCAACTACAGCACTACAGTGAGAGGTGGCAGACACAAGCTGGAACATGAGAAGTCCAGATAAGGAAATGATTCTGGATCACAAGGATGGTCAGACTGGAAGGGGTTGGGTTGCCCAGAAAGTTGGGCAATCTTCCTTCCTTGGAGGTGTTCAGACTTGCCTGGTCAAACGTGATATTTTAGGTCTGCTCTGTGCAGGGTGGGGACTGGGTGACCTCTGGAGTGAGGAAAGCAAAATAGGGCTTTTTTGAGAGGTTTTTGCAATATCAAATGGGCAGAAACAGTGGGTGTTTGACGTGAGAGTTGCCAGAACCAAGCTTTTCAGAGGGTTAAGTGCACTAGGTTAATCATATTTATTTAATATTAAGAGTGTTTTTGGTAAGTTAACTGTACAATGGCACAAGTAGGAGGCATTTTTTCTGAGATTTTTTCCCCTGCAGGTTCTCACTTAGAGTAAGATGCATATACAGAGATGTTATGCTGGGGAACCAGGGTACTTATTAGCACCAAGCAATATCAGTAAAAGGGCAGAAAGGTAGAACTGAGTCTGTGGAAGTATGAAAAATGCACACGTATGCAGGAAATTAAAACCTCCTGAGTTAGCTTCACCTATGGCCCGTATCTGGAACCTCAACAAGATCTCTATCACCATGATATTTGTCATGATTTTCCCCCATACATGTTCAGCACTCATTATCCACCCTTCCTGCTTTCTTCAGATCCGAATGCTTTGTGATGATCTGCACTCTGTCTGGGAGAGGGAGGTGACCCTGCAACATTTGACAAGTTTGGCCATAGCAGAATGAGACTGATTTTATTTTGTGGGACAATGTGTAGATTAAAGTTTTATCTACAGATTTCCACTCAAAATGCTTCAAAGGCATTCCTTCATTGTTATTATTATTACTACTATTACTATTATTTAAAAAAGAGCAAGCATGGAAAGAAACTCACAGCGTAGCTTCTTCCTCAAAGCATCTCTGCTTTTGAGTGTATCTGTTGATCACCAGCAAAGACCGTTGTATCAGTATGTTCCTCTCCAGCACTAAGTGCCACTGCTGCTGTTGGCATTTATATAACAGAATTCTGCTTTGGAGAAACGTGAATAAGCACTAGCATCAAATCTGCCTTTCACTAGGAGATTTACTATTGCTGTCCAGAACGATGCTTCTTGGATGCAGAGGATCCAGAAAGAGATGAGTCATGGAGCTGCAGATCTATCTGTGTATGGCTGCAGTGTGCTGTGGCACAGAGCTCCCAGGGAATGAAAGGTGGGCATTACTCACCAGAAAGACAACTCCTTAACGGGAGAGCTCAGAAGAAGCGGGAAGATCTATTGATCACAGTGCTTTGAGCATCCCTAGGGGATCATAAAGCAACTGGGAGAATGTTAACAATATGAAGCTGTGGAGCCACAGGATCAGCAATACAGGAAGAAGGCTGGGGGTCACTGCGGAGATGGAAACCCCAGCCCTAATTGCTCTGAAGGAGCCTGGCCAAGGGAAGCTATCCAATGGCTGCTCCAGGCATGACTAATGAGCTGTTTGTGTTCAGCCTGGATGCAGGCTGTGGTCTGTACACCCATAGTCTGCAACACATAGCTAACAAATAGCTGCATAGTTATTAATGTGCTCCTTTCTTGTTGACGCATGAATCAGCCTAGGCTTCAACGAGGGCACAGCCTTTGCATTAAGGAGCACCTCTGAGTTTTGAGCTGTAAGAACCTGTTTGTGTAAGCATCTAGGCATGCAGCAAGGCTTCCAGTGCGAATGGTGTGGGAAGGACACACGCAAGGGACAGAGGAACTTCGTTTGGGAACATTTTCTATCTTGGCTTTCAATTTGAGAGCCCATTTCAGTTCCTGTAGGAATTCCCACTGGCTCTAGATAGGCCCAGAAAGAATAATCCTGCCTTTTTGTGGTGGTACAGCTTATATGCTACTGCCTCCATGCTCAAATAAAGACAAATTGTGAGGAGAAAGGTTCGGCAAGACTTCAGCCAGGGGGGGCCAAAGAAACACGCCGTATCCATCAAGAATATATTAGGTAACTGTTACCACTAGAACACAGGAGGCCCTGGTGCTACACAATGTTTATTGTGCTGTGTTTTCTCCTGACACAGAATTAAATTTAGCTCAGAAAGATTGATGTGCACTTTCAAAACATATTACAATACTCTTATCTATGTTTTTCCTTCGAATTCCTAGCATACATAATAAGATGAGCTTGCAATTATCAGTTCTGACGAGAGAGAAATATCGCTTCTAAAGATACAGAATATCAGAAGGCTCTTTTCCCGGAAGGTAATTTGTTTCCAGAACTATTTTACACCCAAACTCCCACAGGAACAGCAGGACTAACTTCAAAGGCTTGTTAGTAATGGAAAGCCCCCAGAGCTGAGGTAACAGCTTAGGAAGGTGGCTCCCTACATCTCTTTAAGTGATAACTATGAATCGGCCTTATAAAAAATTCTAAGAGCTATGATGGTAAGCAGGGATGCTTTATTTATTTATTTTGGCTATTTAAATTCTCGTTAGCAGCTTGAGAGCTTTGGAGGACAAAGAAGAAAATGAAGTCTATGCCTCAGCCAGCTAATCCAAGCGCCTGCCACAAACAACTTCCACACCTGTATTAAGATGTAGGCAAGGCAGGCAGAGCAGCTGGATGTCACACACCTGACTTGTTTCGGTACCCTGAAGCATCCTGAGAGCAGGCTGGGCTGCATCCTTGTGGTAACAGCAGGAAGAACTCCAAAATGGCACTCCACAGTGTCTAGTCATGCATATACACTATAAATATATGTGAAAATGAATTTATCCTTAATGTTTCAACTGCATCAATTTACTGTGATTCAGCTCTTGGTATTCAAAGCATGAAGATCAGTTGTCTTAATCCTTTGTTTTTCGGTTATGACAGTGATTGTTACCCTGCAAAGAATCAGGAAATTCTAACACCAAACATCAGGTATTTATGGCAGCAAAACACAATTGTATATTAAGGAATGTTGACAATTCACTTAATATTTTAGCAAGTTATTGCTGAAGTGAAATACATTTCTGAAGCTTGGACAGGATACTTCTGGAAAAATTACTTGTTTCCCTCAAGAATGTCTATGGAGATCGATATTGCACAGAATTTTCTTTGAAGAGAACAGGTGCAGCATCATCCATGTCTTTATTTCCTGGACACTGGGAGGAAATAATTGTGATTCAGCTCCCGAAGCACTGGCTGTGAGCTAAGACGAGTGCAGGAGCTGGGCTCAACGATCCTTGTGGATCCCCTCCAACTCGGGCTCTTCTGTGATTCTATTTCTATGATCTTATTTCTCATCTATTTCTATGATGAGAAATACCCAATCTAACAAAGCCACCGCAGCCCAATTCCTTCTCTACCACATTGCCTTGTCCCTGTGGTATACTGGGGACCACACAAGAGCAGCCACACCGAAATCCTGTGAGGTGCTGACAATGACAGGTGTCACGTACTGATGGCTGTCAGTTCCCATTTATGTTAATATGAGGGCACAGCCTGGGCATCTGGAATTGAACGCTGTCTTGAGGACCTTCGTGTTTACGGCAGACTTCTCATTTATGCTTTCACAAGGGTGCTCTGCAGGTGCCCCAATCCCAGCATTCTGCCTGGAGCCCCTTTGTGTTTGTGGCAGTCAGTGTGAGGTGCGCAAGGACACCTCTGGGTATCCAAAATCCAGCACTTCCTGTGTTTTCGGAGGATTAAACAGATTCTTTTTCACAGAGGAGACAACTCCACGAGCACAACTGAAGTTTATTTCCTGCGCCCTCGGTTTGTTACACGCTGATAAAATCGAGTAAAACACTTCACCCGCCCTTTTTCTCTCGGCCAGGCCCTCCAGCAGAGCGGCCCTCGGCCCTCGCCCTGCCCCTTCCCACCCGCACGAACGCCGCTCAGCTTTGCCCTTCTCCCCGCGGCGGCACTGGCACGGCTCCGTTTTCTCGCGCTTTCCACACGCACACCCGCAGGCCGCCGGGGCCCACAGGCCTCAGCGCGCCCTCCCCGCGCCCCGGCCCTCCGCTGCGCGTCACCGCCCGGCCCTTCCGCCCCGCCGCTTCCCCGCTGCCCGCAACCGCTCCGCACCGCCCTCGCGCGGCCGGCGGCGCTCCCTGCACCCAGCTCGGCGGTCGCCTTCTCCGGGCCGGGCTATCTATGGGGCGAACGGCGATGCCATGAAGCCGGCGGAGAACGGCAGCGGGGCGAACGCCGCGCACGGGCAGCGGGGCTCCTCCATGGGCGTTCGGCCGCTGTAGGAGCGCCGAGTGCGCGGGGCGCGATCCGCCACCTCCCCTCCCCCTCGGGCCTCCTGAGGAGGATGGCGACGGCGGCCGCCCCGACCCAGCTGGAAGCCGGTGGGTAGCGCTGGCCGCGGGGGCTCCGCCGCCGTCCGCCCGCTTTGTAACCGTGTCCCCTTCTCCCGTCCCCCTTCCTGTCCCGGCGCAGAGCTCTATTACCTGATCGCCAGGTTCCTGCAGTCCGGACCCTGCAAGAAATCCGCCCAGGTGAGCGGGGCTGCCGGCCGGGCCGGGAGGGAGGAAAAGGAACGGGACGGGACGGGGAGAGGAGCCGGGAAGGGAAGCAGAAGGGACGGGGCAGGTCGGCAGCGGGCGGGCGGGGGCTAGGGGGGCACGGCGCCGCGCTGCGGGCTCCGGACTCACGTCCTTTGTGTGCGTGCTGTGTGTGTCCCCAGGTGCTGGTGGAGGAGCTGGAGGAGCACCAGGTAAGGGACGGCGCTGCCCGGCCCGGCCCGGCCTCTCCCGGCACTGCGGGGCCGTGCAGCGCGGTGCGGCCGGGGCCGCGGTGCGGCCGGGCCGGGGGGCGCGGAGCGGAGCCGGCTGCCCTCGGCCGCCCGGGGAGGGGTCTGACCTCCGGCTCCGTCCCTCCTCCCGCTCTCTCTCTCTCTCCCCGTCTCCCTCCCGCAGCTGATCCCCCGGCGCCTGGACTGGCAGGGCAAGGAGCACCGCCGCAGCTTCGAGGACCTGGTGAGCCCCTCGCGCCGGCGGCTGCCCCGCGTCCCCGCCACACTCTGCGCTCCCCCCGCTCCGCCCGACGGCTTCGCCCCGCTGGCCCCAGGCCGCCACCGGGCCGGGGCAACGGGGGCACGGCGGGGCGGTGAAGCCGGGCTGGGTGAGGAGGGGAGGAGGGGGGGGTTGGTTAACAGGACGGGGGCGGTGGGGACGGCCGGGGGACTAACCGCGACGCGCTATTGTGGGGCCGGGGCGGGTTATCTGAGGGCACGTACCGGGGCCCGGCCTGGCGAATGGCGCCGCGCCTTACAAGCCGGAGCGGCGCGAGCGGCGATGCGAGGAGGCGGCTGATTGGCTCCGGCGCCGCAGAGGAACTGGTGGGGGTGGCAGGGGGCGCGGGGCGGGGCGCCGCGGCTCGCGCCGGGCCCGCGGGGCGCTGAGGGGGCGGGCGGCGAGCGCGGGCCGGGGGCGGCGGCGGGGGGTGCGGAGCTGCGGGGCCGCCCCGCGGCGTTGGGCCTGCGGGCGCGGCCTGCGCCGGGCCCCGCTTGGGAAGCGTGGCGTTGAAAACACAAAAAGTCTGTGAGATAAAATGTGGGGAGACCGGCGCGGGTGGGTCAAAGCCGCGTGGGTGCCCGCCGCTGAGGAAGGGCGGCTTTGCCTTGCGCCGGGGAAGGCGCGGCCGCTGAGGGCCGCAGAGAAAAGCGGCCCTATCGTCACTGCCCGCGGGTGACGGCTCTGGCACTGCAGCTGGCGGCTTGGCTGTAGCCCTATAGCGCGCTGTGAGCGTTCCGCTCCGCACGCGGGGGGAGCTTCGTGCTCCCGCCCCGCAGAGCGCCGTGCTGGTGCGGGCTTTGAGAACGAGTGTTGTCCTGTAGCTTGCTATGCGGTTGGTTTTCCATTGTAGCACTATTTTAGGCGTTCAGGTGCAGGTGGGAGAGTTCCTGACATTGAGGTGAGACACTGGTGCTCCTGGCTTTCCCTTTCTGAAACATACAGAGAATTTAAGGTGATTGTGCTTTGTCATTCCTGTGATGGATAATTCTAGAGCTGTTTATTGAGTGAGCAGAAATGGAGTAAGTACTGCATTCAATAAATCTCAGTGCTGTGTGCGATTTTCCTAGAGCATCTGAAATCTAACAGGCCAGTTTGGGTTCAGATTGTGCCTGCATGCAGTGAAGGGTGCTAACAGCTGCAGTGTGAAAGCTGATTTCAGACTATTTTGCTTCATCAGTTGCACTGTGTCTGTTTTTCCACTTTGTTCTGTGAGGTGTGGCTAGGAAAGCGTTAAAGCCTTTTCTTCTGTGTTAGGTGCTGCTGCTGAAGATGTATGTTTTTAAGACTTTCAGAAGCAGGAAGCAAATTGGAGTAAAGTGAGGCTTGGAATTAATGGGAAGTTGCTTCTTGGAGCATAGAATTATCAAAGCCAAATATAAGATCTTTTTTTTCTTCTCTTTTAAGTTAATCAACAGTTATCCTTTTTTTGTCATCTCTTTTCTAGTTTTGTTTAGCTGGTTAACATGATAAATCAGTTAGGAACAGGACCACGAGCTAATCATTACAGAAAGACAGGTTGATGCTATATGGGATGAGCTGAGCTTCAATTAATCCTCAGGCTGAAGCTTTTACTGTCAAGAATGTGGCAGGAAAGCCTTTATCCCACTCTGCTTAGAGTTTGATGAATCTGGAATTTGGACCTTTGGATACATATGATTGTATATTAACCTGAACTACTTGACTTCTGTGCTAGCTAGATGTCTAGAATGTAATGTTTAGAACAAAGCTAGGGCTGTGGAGAAGAAAAAACTCTGAACTTAACTTTAATTATCTCACCTCATGAACAAAAAATTAATTACTGATGTTAGCAGTCAGGGATGGAGTGTTTTTCTACCCATTTTTCTTGTTTGAACACTGAGAAGCAGAAAGGCAATCAGTTACAATCTTTGCCTTGTGTTGCAACTGCACTGGGCAGGCAGGCCTGAGATAATTGAGCAAAATGAGAGATTTGCAAACCCGGAGAAGTTAGGTTTGTTTACTAGTTTGCCCAATATTCTGCTCTCGCAAATCTGACAAAGAATTTAGTGTCCTAATTGCTGATGTTTTTCCATTCTCTGTCTGACTGTTTAGTCTAGAGCTGGTATTTTTGCAAGAATGTGTTGATGCTCTTGTTGTAGAGTGTGCTATTGCTCTGAGTTCTTTCTGAAATGATAAAGATGGAACAACCAAATCGCCTAGCAGGTGGCTTTTATCTAGTTAATGTTTACTCCCACCTCCCTCAAGCTTTCAGTCAAGATCCGAAATTTCTCTGTTAAGAGATTTCTTTCTTTCTTATTTGAACTTAGTCCTTCACTTTACATGTCAGGCACCCTCAGGCAGGAGAATAGTTGAAGATACACTCATAAGTACTGTATCTGGTGAGCGAAGCCACACAGAGAACACGAGCATGTTCTGCATTTGTGTTCCCTTTGTGTTTCCTGCTTCTTTCCACTTTGGAGCACTTTTTATGTGCAACATGTGGCTGCCTGTCTACCAGGTGTGCTCCAAAGGTCTGCCTGCTCCAAGCGGTTTTTACTTTGCTATTGGCTGCTGGTGGTCTTGGGACATGAAACATGCTTGTAAAGGGGAGGGTCCTCACTTTCATTATGAAGGTCTTAGGTATGTCGAAATTGCATGCAATTAGTACTTCTATTTTAAATTAACCACAGCAGCTTAATGTACAGCCAGCTGCCGAGCAGACGAGTTGAGCTGAGCTGCTTTAGATTATCAGAGCAGTCTCCAGTGGGCAGTTTTTGGAAATTATTTTTGTTTATTCCTGATAAAAATGACTTTTCTGGTTTTCAAGAACTTTCTGAAGGACTGTCTATGCTGGCAAAGGCTGTTTTGTTCTTTGTGCTGAAGTTGAGCTTAATTTTAGGAAAAACAGAACATCAGCTGTTGTTGGATGGTGTCTCTGAGTGGAGAATTTGTATCTGTGGATGGCTGCACTAGTATGGAACAGCTTATGGGATTTGGCTTTGGGTTTCTGCCTCGTCCATCTGCATTGATTTAAAACTAGCTGTGAATCTGAGGTGCCGTTATTTATAGCTATTGCCAATCCCAGCGTGAGCAGCAGAGAGGTGGTGTGGTTTTGTCACCTCAGGAAAATGTCATCTGCTATATGATAGTTCCAACCCACTCTCCCTGAGGAAATAATGATAATGGCTTTTGAATTTCTGTGTATATGCATATTGTTGACGTCTTATGAAAGTCCAGTATCTGAGGTTTCTTTTGTTGAGATTCCATATTTGAGGTCTTGAGTAATTTCCTGCTTGCTCAGCTGTCTTGGTCCTCTGGTCTCCTCTGCTGCTTTTTGATGGAGTTGTCAATTGATTCTTAATTGATTGTTATTTTGGCAAATGAGAGCAGCATGGTGCGGCTGCCTGGAGGTCAGAAATCTGCTGCTGCTGCACGGCTGCCTGCCTGCCCCAGGACCTGGGGGGAAGGGGCCTTCCAAGGCCCACGTTGTTCTCTGCCTTCCCTCCGCTGTGCGGCTTTTGCATCAGATGGAGTTGGTGCTTTGAAGCCATGTTTCTCTAGGCTTCCCTGAAGAGGCGTTCCAGACCCTGGGAACACAGGCATCTCATTATAAGTAGTAATCACAATGAGTTGGCTTTTTGTTTGCTTGTTTCCTGTTTATTGAACTGTTCTTGGGAGGAGAAACTGTCAGCAGTAATTCCAGGGGATTTTGTTTGTTTGTTTCGGGGATCAGCAAGCCTCTTGCCTGTGTCTTAGCTGCCCAGTGAGGACTCTTTTCTTAGCAGTCTGAGATTATGTCGTAATACTTCCAACATCAGGAGCATAAACAGGTTTAGAGGTATGACTTTCTTCTAGCCCTTACGTGACTTCAGCAATAGTTCCTTATTTGCAGCTGCTTATCTGTGTAGCAGCATATTTGCATATTAGTTCAAGCTGTTGTGATGAAGTTCACTTGGAGCTGTTTACATGGAGTTTTTAGGACATACTGGCTTTGCTTGATTGCTCGAGTTTTTAGGTCTGTAAGACCTGCAAAGTTGGTTATTGAAAAGCATTTCTGCGGTGCTCTGGCAGTCTCATGCTCTGATATTTTCACCTGTATAGGACTGTTTCATATAAAGGCAACAGCCATTTTTATCATTTATCTCAGTATGTCTGTAGAACTGGCTCTCACTTAGCATGCCTTCAGCTCTTCTGAGTTATTTTAAAACAGTCCTTTAAAAGCTCCTTGTTTAGCATGTTTTTGGCCTGTCTTGCTAGTTTCTTGCTTTTTTTTTTCTAATTTGTATTTATTTTTCAAAAATAGTTTTTAATATTCTAAAGATATTTTCTAATGCACTTGAGGAGGTGATAATATGCTTACTGCTGTTTAATTTTGGCATCCCACCTCTTTGCCACACAGCAAATGTGGCTGTAGCTGACGTTAAGCTTTGCCTTTTTCTGTCCTTCTTTGAATGCAAATGTGATCTGGGAGGCTTCATTTTTCTCAGCCATGCGTTTGCAGCTTTACAATTTGGGGTGATTTTTAAAATCAATGTGCATCTCTCATGCAGAGGTGAGAGACAGGAACTTTGTTTCAAGTTTTTTTGGGAACCTGAAAACAAAATTCCTTGTTCTGCTCCAGGCTGCAGTTTAAGCGTTTTAGTTGGAAGTTACTATGGAAAAAAATCTCCATGAGAATTTACTTCTACTGCTGTCTGCCTGCGTAGCTGTTTGGTAGTAACAATATTAATATACAGATTAGGGGCCACTTAGGCTGCTGTGGTTTGTAGAAACGTGTAAATGACAGGGGAAGGAGAGCCACGCAGCCTTTCTTCTTTAGTGTGGTATGGTTCTGATTGCAGGTGGCGGAGCTGATGGGCAGGGCGTGTTAATAAAGGGAGCGATCACTTTGATACGCGGCCAGTCTGTGCAATATGCTCCACATGAAATGTTGCTGAGGAAAGTTTACAGTCTAATAAAACTGAGCGCTGAGATCTGGCAGCTCCCTGGTGCTGGTTTAGCTCTGGCTCCGTGCTGGGTTCACCAACTTTCCTGGTCTGGCAGGGAGCAGCCAGATGTCTGTGTCCTGAGCTGCTTAGCGTCTCGGCCACCCAGACAAATCACCGCCAGGCATCTACAGATAGCTGCCACATGCTCGGGGTTCTGGCACATCCATCTTTGATCTTTGAGTGCTCGCAGGTCTGCAGATGTGCTGGTGCTCACTCCCCTTGCTGTTCTGTAAAAAAACAAAAAAACAAAAAAACAAACAAACAAACAAAAAAAAAAAAAAACAACAAAAAAACAACAACTGCCTTAAAGGTCTTTATGCAAGCAAGTAGCATTCCATTTCTGAATAGATGTACTGAGTCAGT